AAGATTAGAACTGGGGGGCTATTTGCTGTCCAGCATGGACGCTGACACTCCAACCCAACCATCCTGTGATGCATTTTGCCCCTAAGTGGAGCTTAGTTGTACAGCTATGATGAACATAGTGCAACCTTGTATGTGCTACCTGAATCTGTAGGGGGTGACAGATCCCAGAGGTACCTCAACTTATGACTGGATGGTGGGTCTCGAGCTTTATACAAAATGTAAGTTTTCTAGAGTATCACGTGGCTGCCTCAACAGTCTTTTGTCAGCAGTTTCAAAACCCTCTTTACAAAAATATTGGCAGTTATAATAAGTATATTGTATTGTAACAATTAAATGGCCAGTCTCCAATAATCTCAGCAACAATCACTGGGTGTGGGAGTGGGAGCTCTCTCATAATATGGAAGCAATAAAAGCAGGTTGTGGCAAGGGTTGCAGGTATCTGGTTGTGGACACAAGCTAAGATCAAAAGTGGATCTCACCTGATCAAATACTGAAAAAATGCAACGTTTCTAGGGACATCAACATTGCCTTTGCCAGGGGTTTACCTATCAAATGCAAAATTGTGAACGTGTGTTCTGCCATTCACTACCTATAGACCAAGCCATGTGTAGAAATGCAGCAGCTATGGGCACCAAGATATGTGTAAGGCCTTGTTTATACCTACATGCTTCACAATTGAAAATAGCAGGTCAAAAGCAACCAGTATTTAGTGTATCACTTGGTCTGGTTAAAAATGTCTTTCTAGAGCAGCGTTTCTTAGCCTTTTTTCAGTCACGTCACCCTTTAAAAGTATGCAAAATCTTGAGGCACCCTGGTCTAAAATGGAAAAGTAAAAACTGACGTGTGGCCCCTACCAATATACGTATCAGTCTCTTATCCAAGAAAGGGGTCTTGTATGAATTTTAAGTGGGAACGCATGTAACAACACAATAAAAAATGGGGTTCTCGAACTAATCAAATGCCAACTAATCGGTGATGGAAAATGTTGGCAACATTTTCCATCATCGATTATAATTGACTTCGTTGATTAGTTGTTGCAGACCTACTAATTAGTTGCAAAATGTTCTTCTAGCTCTTAAAAATATGGATTGTCCCCTAATTATAGAAATCCCTTACTCGGAGCTGGTTCAGTAAACAGGTAGAAAAATTTATAATTTTATCAAATTGAATATTTAATCGTAGAAAAACAAACTTAAACAATACATCCACAACAAAACATTTAAAAACAATTAAAAAACTTCCCTTGGGTAAACAGTGGTTAAAGAATCATGGATGATCTGCAAGCCAACTGGTGTGGCATAAAAGGTTTAGAGCAGATACATACAATGTATTTCATATACAGATACAATGTATCCCAAGTTACTCACAGCTCATGTAGCTCAGGGAGCTCGGGGAGAGACAGTCCTGCTCGAATCCCACAACGCTGAATGATTTTTTGCTTCAATAAGCGTATCCGGTAGTAGCAGTTGGGATCCAGAGATAGGGATATGTAAATAGGGCTAAAAAATGTAAGCGCCCTTCCCTTTTCCCCCTGTTTGGGACTCTCACTAGCCCTCGGGCTTGAATTTCAAATTTGAGAGATATCCCGAAAGCACTTCAATATATATGTGCGGCCGCACAGTGAACAAAGAGGAAAGGTAGATGCAGGAGTCTCCACGGTAAGAAGTTCCATGTGCAATATTGGATCCACAGGCTGTGTGAATAACGCAAACTGTCGTCCGGTCGTTTTTCTCAATCTCTGCTGGATTGGTGTAGATTCCAATGCAGCTAGACTCAGACCATATCCGAGCCGGCCGTGCTCCGTCTCCGCACTTCGAAGCCCAGCTGGACAATGCTTCTACCGAGACTGATGTGCGGGATGAGCTTTAGTGAGTGTCCAGGGAAGTTGTTAGCACACGTTACTCTGACGCGTTTCCTCCCCACACAGGGGCTTCCTCAGAGGGTATGTTCCCCTGTTTGCTGCATAAATCTTCTAGCTCTTACTTGTTTGGATATAATTTTTACACATGTATTGGTTTTATACCTCTCAGAAACCCCTATTTCTCGTTTTTTTCTATCTTCCTTGTTAGTACCACTTACTTTGCCAGCTTTTTGTTGCCTTGTCCCAACCTTTTTGAGACGTGTTGCTGCTATCAATTTCAAAATGACCTTATTACTTTTATTAAAATGGTACATTTTCTCAAGTTAAATATTTGATATGTTTTCTATTTTCTACTGTGAATAAAATATAAAAATAAAATATGAGATTTACAAATCATTGCATTCTGTTTTTATGTAGATTTTACAAATCTACATAAAAATGATGGTTGTACAAATGTAATCCATTCCGCAGCTTGTGACTGGACAGTAAAAAGGGAAGCAGCAGACCGATAAGCTCATCTCTCTCTCTCACTCTGCTCTCTTCTCTTATCAGCATGTCCCATGTTAGCCATGCGCACCGCAGCACAACTGATTGGCTCTTTGTACCGCTTCTCCTTCCTTTGGTGTACATGGGATTGCAAGAGGATGTCAGATTCAGGAACTTATACTAAATTTAAAATGAAAGAGCTTGTGTTTTAATATTTGCCTTGAGTTTGGCTTTAATATTTATTAGGGATGCACTGATACCAGTTTTTCGGTATCGAGCACGAGTACCGATCTTTTTTGTTTTGGTACTCACCGATAACGAATACTGATACTGCTAGTCCCATTGAGGAAGCCGGGTGGGATGTACTGACTCGCCGCCGGCTTCCTGATTAGCCGGTAAGCATGAAGCCGGCTTTCTGGCCAATCAGGAAGCCGGGGGGGTAATAACGTGCTGCCCACCTTCCTGATTGGCCAGCTTCCCGATCAATCAGGGAGCTGGGCAACGAGTCCAGCTCCATGCTCGCCCCCCGGCTTTCTGATTGGCCAGGAAGCCAGCTCCATACTCCCTAGTGATGAGGGAGCATGGAGCTGGCTTCCCGGCAAATCAGGAAGCCGGGCATCGTGTAATGACTCGCCTCACGGCTTCCTGATAGCAGAAGTTCCAGTATCCGGATAAGTATCAGTAGCATTCGGGCACGTACGAGTACTCGCCCAAATACTTGGTATCGACACCGATACTAGAATCGGTATCGGTGCATCCCTAATATTTATGTTTAGCAATAAAGATATACATTTATTATGTACAGTTATATAAATATAATTTTATAATAACTTTTATAAAGAATTTGTGATCAATGTCAATACAATTGGCCAAGTAATAGCAGTCAGAGTAAAGTTTGTAGTGTGCTGATGAGCTAATGATGGCCCCAAGTGTATCACTTTTTGGGACATTTTTAAGCCTGAACTCTGGAATAAGTAAATATTGTCTGAATACAAGAGTCATGTTTATTCTTACTTGAATCTTGGTGTGCTTTGTGTATTTCTTCCAGATCTGTGCAATAATCCTGTGTGAAAACCTAGCTCTGTGTCGGAGCTTCCTGTAATAAAGACCAGTCACTGCTGCTCTCTTTCCTTGTGCAGGATGACTGGTCTTGTATTCGCCTTTTCCTGTAGTTTTCTGCGGGCTGTCTGTAGTGGGTGGAGCCTGCTGACCCCTCCCACAGCTCTGCTCTCTGCAATGGCCGTGTACAGCACAATGATGATGTCATAGATGCTTTTTCAAGGTAACATCTGGAAATCACACAAAGGCATTTGGTGCAGACAAACTGGATTGATATCCTTTAGGCCCCTTTCACACTGGCTGATCAGGAAAGGATCCATGCACGGATCCCCTCCTGATCGGAGTGGTACAGATTGGATTTCACCGTTGTGACATTCGTGTCCATCCAGTTTTCCGGCACGATCAGGTCAGTCGAAATGGAACACTGTTCCATTTGCTTTTCTGCACATGACTGGAGTCTGGGGTAACTGGATGTAAATAATACAAAACACAGAAAATCCCCAGCTCACCTGCCAGCTAACCTGCAACCAAACAAATTGCCCTGTCAACAGTATGCGTTAAAAACCAGAGGTTTTAGTTGCACAAACTTTTGGCCAAAAATATGTAGAAGCCACACCGCCCCGTCAAGGCACCTCTGCAAAGTGTGGTCCTAACTCTATGTATATGAGTCTCCAAGTGTGAGCATATTAATGCAGTCGATAAATTGCATGCAGGTGTACCTGGAGGTAGCCAATTCCTCCTAATAAGGTGCAGGGACGCACTGGAGGCCCAGCAACCAAAAATGCACGCTGGGACCCCAGTGCATCCTCTCAACCAAAAATGGTCAAACTAGAAAAAACATGGTACCTGCATGGATCTATAACTAGCCTCTACGGCAGGGTGCACATTGGGAAGGCTGGTTGTAAATGTACACCTGATTGTTTGCACATGGCTGCCCATAGACTAACATTGGGCATCCAATTGGGTCCGCCTGAAAAACTGACAGACAGACAGACAGGCACCGCTCTTGTGAAAAGGGCCATAGTGGCTATCGAGGAATATCATTCTATAAACGTTTTTGTACAGGGAGTTTTAATTGATGTAATGTTTCAAATTGAATATTATTATGCAGGATTCTTATAGCATCAACAGTTTGTGTAACATATAGGGAAACAGTACAGTTACAATACAATTCCATACTAGAGTACTAGAAGGACCCTGCCCATGAGAGCTTACAATCTGCAAGGAGGGACAAGTGTTACAGAAGGTAATAATGGTGAGGGATGAGCTGATTGAAGGAGCACATGTAAAGTTTTTACAAGGAGGTGGAATAGGCTTCCCTGAAGTGGTGAGTTTAAGTGATCTTTTGCCAAAACACACACAGTTCTTGTTTTCTCTACCGTTTGTGCTCCAAAGAAAACACAAAACAATACATCTCCTGCGTTTTTAAAAAACATTTATATTAACATATAATATATATAGAGAGAGAGAATTGGGTTTGTGCATACAGGAAGGACATTTGCAAGGTGCAAGTATATGGAAACCAATGACGTCTCACTTGTAGAAGGTATTCTGAATGCAAATGTGTATTGAAGATAATGCGATCTCTGCTGCCAACAGAGGGAGCTAAACACATATAGATGGTGTGCAGAGGCTACTGCCCTGCCGGTGCCTCCCTCCTTTCACACTCATACTAATACACACGCATCCATAGCCAGGGCCAGACCAGGCTCTGCCGCCTGCACATCACCCCGAGCTGTAGCAGGAGCTTGCACCATGGAGTGAGTACTAGAGAACTCATAATACTAAAACATGGGCATTCTGAAATGTCTGCTTCCTTCTGCATGCTGTGCATCCTGCACACCATCCTTGTATCTTCTACTACAACCTCTCTGCATCCTGCACACCATCCCTGTATCTCCTACCACCGACAGCCTCTGTGCATGCTATATATCCCTATATCCCATTCTCCCTGTATCTTCTCCTACAACCCCTGGTTATCCTTCACATTATCCCTGTATCCCAGTCTCCCTGTACCTCTTACCACCACCTCTGGTCATTCCGCACACCATCCCTGTTTCTGCTCCTACAGCCTCTGTACATGCTGCACAGCATCCCTATATCCCATTTTCCCTGTATCTTTTCCTACAACCCCTGGTCATCCTTCACATTATCCCTGTATCCCAGTCTCCCTGTATTTTTTTCACCACCTCCTCTGTTCATTCTGCACGCAATCCCTGTATTTTAGTCCCCCTGCATCACCTACCATCACTTCTGGTCATTCTGCACACCACCCCTGTATTCCACTCCCCCTGCATAGCCTATCACTACCTCTGTGCATCCTACACACCATCGCTGTATCACAGTCTCCCTCTATCACCTACCATCACTTCTGGACATCGTGCACATCTCCCATTTATCCCTGTCTCCCTGTATCACCTACCACTACTTCTTTGCATCATGCACACCATCTCTGTGTCCTAGTCCCCCTGTATTTACTATCACTACCTCCAGACCCCCTGTATCACCTACCACCACCACCTATGTGCATCACCCATCCACGTTGCCCACACACCTCAGATCTACATGCCCCCTTGGTCATGTCCCTCTCCCGTGAACATCTTACCTTCCATGCATTTTTTCAATTTTCTTGTTTGCTTATACTTTACAACCTTTTAATATCATGTGCCTCCAAGCAGAACATATTTGCAATCCTTCTGTGTTCTTGTATTCCCTTTTTTTCCTTTGATGTTATTTATACTCCAGCCCATCGATCACGCACCCCCTCCTTTTAGATTCCTGCAATCCCTGTATATATTGCAGGATGACCCCAGCCCTGCCTCCGTCCTGGCAATACCAAGGGTCCCCTGCCTTCTCTGCCATCTCCCCTTATCTCAGTGCACCACCCCCACCTCCTCATATAGCTGTGCAGTTTTGAACCCTGTAGTGCTTTCTCAAATTCCTGTTCTTCCTGTAATCACATCTACTCCCTGCATCCCTGCTGCTGTTCTGCCACTCCTCCTTGCATATCAGAGCTGCTGCTGATTCCCATCTGACTGCCCTACATCGCCCTTATGTAGTATGTCAACAGTTATAGCTATTTGCCAGTCCCCAAATCCTCCGCTTTTGCCTGACTCTCCCCCGTCTTCTATGCTGCACAGAGCAATTCTATTTCAGTTGATTTGCATTTACTTTGCTGCCTGTCCTTTCTGTTTCTGTGATTATGGCTGCCCCATGATGAGGAGGCCCCTTTTTTTTACCACCTAGCTTTGCCCACCTGTTGGCATTCCTGAAATGATCTCCGCTGAATGATTTGTGAGACCCTTTTGTGTCATTTTTAGATGTATTTGCATGACTGGTTCTGTAGAAGCTCCTTTAATGGAAAACACTTCTATGTTCTGGTCTGGGATTGGAATTACTGCAGAAAATAGGCTGGGATGCAAGGTGCAAAAGGTTATATATAGGCAGAGACGCTGCTGGGAGACAAATCAGGGAAGGGCTGTGGATGCAAGAATGCAGAGAGGCTGTGGGGGAGAGAAAAAAGGAGGGGAGGCATCATGGAGTGTAGACAGAATGAGCAGGAAAGGGAACAGGGAGTGAGTGGCCTCAGTACGGAACCAGAGACACATTCCCACATTCCAAAACAAGGTTCATTTCTAGCACAGCCAATAGTGGAATAATCAGACTGAGATATAACAAAATGAGAAAAAGTCTAATTACATGTTTAGTGTAAAACTGGAAAATGGAGTAATGCCTAGCACTTGACGAGTAGTATAGTAGCACGCAGCGCTTTATTATAATTGCACAGGGGATATAATATGCCACAAACACAAATTATACATAAACACACACGGTGATATAATAACAGCAATCATACAGCACAAAGCGAAATATTAGAAGTATAACTGTTTGACTTGCTGTGTGTTTTATAATAGTGCGGGTGATTATTGTGAAAATAAAATTGATGAAGATTAGTTTTATACCTGAGTATACCTTTTTTCGAGAGCTACTAAATATAGTTCTGTCTTTTCTCATACTTAAGCTGATGTCAGATTTTTAGTGGCAGGAGGGCTAAAAAGGTCGCCTGTGTATCCCTATGGAATCGCTTCCTTTATAGCCAGATGCAGCGAGATGTCACTTTGTCGCTGATCTGAACACTGCTTAACCATGACCAGCTACAGTGGGAGCGTTTCCAGAAGGACAAACAGGTGGCCTTTTAGCAATTCTGCTTCTGCCGATTTCAACGACTCACCAGTGGCAGGATTGCTAGAAACAGAGTAGCCTGACTGACAAAAAAGGTATGAAAAGTGAAAAAAATGTAGACATCTCCCCATTTTTTTTTTTTTCAGAATGTGAGTTTTATTTAACCATTGATAATATTGCGGTGACAATTAACAAAGTTGGACAAACTCCCAATAGTTAAGAGGACCTGTTTACAAGGAATATGACCAGCCCTTCCCACTCATAATGGTATCCCATTCACGATTAGAATGTCCATCAGGTCTGGCAAATGCAAGAGTTGCCATACTTGGTTTTGGATTGACTTTTCTAATATGCTAGAAAAACTTGTAAAACTATATGGTACATTAGAGCACTCTGTTTCTGCATTGTACTATTAAACAAAGAAATACATCACTAGCTGAGTAATGACTTGAAAACCATTTGTCACTTCTGCCACTTTAAAGTGAGTCAGCCAGTTTGTTGACATCAGAACCCTGCAGTGAGTCCCATGTATTCCGTTTTCTCCATTTGTGACCAATTGAAATAGCAGATGTCTGTCTAATGATTGTCCAACTGGTGGTACAAACATTCTCTGTAGGTGGTTGTTTGAGCCAGGTGCTATGAATCTGCATGACTGTACAGTGATTGAGTGTGTATATGAATTAATCTAAATATTGTGATCTTAAAGGTATTATCTACTGTTCTGTGGGCAAACTGATCAGCCCAAAAAGTGTACATGTCCCAAAACATTTGCTTAATATAGCTTACCTGAGTGCTGGGGAGGAGGGATCACACATGAGGTTTTTTTAATAAGTTTGTATTCACACAAAATGTATTGTTTTTTCTAAAATTGGAAAGAAGTGGAATAAAAGTGCTGGACCAGCAAGTTCTGTCCTATTGGTAAAGCTGGTCAATTAGGATGCAAAAATCAGTATAGATGACCTGGCTACCGGACAGACTGCTTCATTCCATTACATGAGGATCTCCTCTGTCTCCTTGGTTTATGGTATCAAATTGTAGGATTGTGAATATATATAGTATAATGATTAAATGAAAGAAGGGATTTTAGGGGCATAATAGGGCCACTGTTGCTGGCCTAGTTAGTTGTAGTTGAATAATTGATGTCTTTAATGGACATCTTTGGTAATTGGTTCAGTAGTGAGCACTGCAGTAATGGAGATGCAATGACCTTATTGACTATCAAATCAACATCTATACTGTACATACAAGCAAACCCTTGTACTTTGGTCAACCAAATAATAAGATAGAAATGTGCCATGATATTAGGCATTGTTTGTTTGTTTTTTTGAAACTGATTTAAAAAGTGTAGTCAATATCACTAAACTATTGCATTTGACGGCTTCTTGTTGAGCCTTTGTCAAGGCAGGCAAGTATTTCCTCATTTCTTCAAATCATCAGTTAGTACCTGGATTGAACTAATTGGCTCCTGGATTCCACAAAAATCTGGCTCTTCTTAGACCATTAGTATAAAGAGGAAAGGCAGAAATAGCTGTTGGGTATTTTAGCATATAGGTCTTACTATGGCCATGCCATTACAGTTGTGTTAATATGAACATTATTGGATTGGCCTGGAATCTTGAATGAGATATTAAGAACCCGCAGATAACATTGAAGTTTCGTACATGGAGGTGGGATTGTGACCCTTCTTTTTGTTTTATGTAGTTGGCTCAGTTGTAGATCTTTTCATTAAATGTAACAGATATACTCATAATCCCTACAGATGAAATTATAAATGAATTGAGAGCAAATTACGGATTTAAAGTACAACTAGAGAAATATTTTTTTTTAGTTTTGAATAGAGTAGGGAATTACTAAAACTTCTGTCAGTTTTTTTTTGTTTCTGTCTGTATGCCGTGGGAGAGATTTTTCTTTGGTTCCTGTTATGGAGACACAATACGTAGTAAGATGTGAGCTCTCTAAATTGAGCGGGAATCCACTTTTAGAGACTCATTGAAACAGGTGATGGTTTCTCTCAGTTTGGACTATAGATAAAATGTATTGCCAGTATATTGTGACCCAACAAATACGTTTTCTGGTAACAAAATGCTTTAAAAAAGAACTCAAAGCATAATTATTTTTAACCCTTGCAGTGGGGCTACCCCGCACTGTGAGGGTTAAGTGCTCGTTTTCATCTAGGGAGAAAAAGAAAAAAGTTATATTCACCTGAACCTCTGAGCCAGCTGGCTACTACTTTGGTCCCTCCAGCCTGTATTCTCCTCCGCTCCAGTGATGGAATCCTCATGTCCTATACACTGTATTGGATGTGATGACTCACAGGACCTTAGACTGCTGGAGCAGATGGGGAGAGAGGCTCCAGAGACCAGTCTAACAGCCAGCCAGCTGCAAGAATCAGGTGAGGATAACTTTGTTATTTTTGTTGTCACTAGATGCAAAACAAGCACTTAACACTCACAGTGCTGGAGTAGCACCACTGCAAGGGTTAAGAATAATTCTGCCTGGAGTTTTTCTTCAGTTGGTCAATAGCAGTTATTTTACTGTGTATATGTTTATTTTTCCTTTATTGGAACCGTTGTAGACA